GTAGTGATTTTTATTTTACTTGTTATATTAAAAACCTCTTATAGTTATTGGTATCCGAAACTTGTAGAAAATTATAGTTACGATAATTGATTCTTTAACATTTTCTAAATATATCGCAATATATATTGTTTTTATTTTACAATCAACATTAAAAATAATAACCATATTTTATTCTAAATTTTGTACTTAGTAGCCTTTATCATTTTTATTTGTATAGTATATTATGATATTAACATTTATTCGATTTCGATAACAAAAATGTATAAATCATACTAATATATATTATCTGTTCAATTAAATTCTTTAATATAATATTATTTTGAATTTTTTTAAGAAAATTTAGTACCTATATATATCTATATAAATTAAAAAACTTATCGATTAATTAATAATTTTTTAATCAATAAATTTTTAAAGTCTAATAATATTATTAGTTTACTATGGGTTTAGCACTGATCTACTATAGGGGTAATTAAACAGAACTTTACATTTTTAGACTTTTCTTTTCGGATAAAGTTTTTTTTCTTTAATTTTATTTTTAAATAGAGAAACGATGTTGGTGATGGTGACTCCGATTCCTAAGATAGCGATTTCAAAGTTGACTGCTTTCGTACTCTCTCTATCTACTACTACTCGATCAAAACCATTTCCCGGAGTTCTCGATTTCTACCCTCGCCGGAGATCTTATCGTGTAATCACTTCAATGGCTAGAGCAGGATCGGTCTCCATCGACGTAGCTGGAGAATCGAAACCGGATCATGTCACAGAGAAGTGGTTCTCAGTGCCGGAGCTCCGATTGCGTAACCATCGATTCTTAGTCCCTTTAGATTATTCACTCGATTCGGAAACTTCTCCCAAAATCACCGTTTTCGCTAGAGAAATCGTTGCGGGTAATTTTAAAATCGGAGCTTTTCTCGATTACGAACTCTTTCTATGATTCGATTATGACTCTGTTTAATTGAAGATTGAATCTTTTTTTTGTTGTAGTGGGGAAAGAGGAACAAGCAATGCCGTATCTATTGTATTTACAGGGTGGTCCAGGATTTGAAGGTCCAAGACCAAGTGAAGCTAGTGGATGGATACAAAGAGCTTGTGAAGAGTTTCGTGTTATCTTACTCGATCAAGTATGATACTTTATATAGTTTAATATTGCTCTTTCTCTGGACACTTTTGCTTAGTCTTTGTGTTGGTCCTGCAGAGAGGAACAGGTTTATCAACACCTTTGACTTCTTCCTCTATGCTTCAATTCAAATCAGCAAAGGATTTAGCTGATTATTTGGTTCATTTTAGAGCGGATAATATAGTTAAAGATGCTGAGTTTATTAGAGTTCGTCTTGTTCCTAACGCTGATCCTTGGACAATATTGGGTCAGGTATATATGTTTCTGTATATCTCTATTAGCCACTACTCTCTGCTTCAGTTCTTGTCATTTGGTTTCTTACTCGTCATTGGTATTTCTGCAGAGTTTTGGTGGCTTCTGTGCAGTTACGTATTTGAGCTTTGCGCCTGAAGGACTAAAACAAGTGCTAATAACTGGAGGAATCCCACCAATTGGTAAAGCATGCACTGCAGATGATGTGTATGAAGCTGGTTTTGAACAAGTTATTCGCCAAAACGAAAAATACTACAAGAGATTCCCTGAAGACGTTGTGATTGTTCGTGATATCGTAAATTACTTGGCTGAATCTGAAGGTGATGGGGTAAGGGATTGCAACGTTTGCCAAATATACTTATCAGTTTAGTTTAGTTCTTCATTTGACTTTGTTACTCTGTCTTTAGGTGCCTCTTCCATCAGGAGGCATCCTCACTCCTAAGGGTCTTCAAGCTCTTGGTCTTTCTGGTTTAGGATCAAGTACTGGTTTCGAGCGCTTGCATTATATGTAAGACTTTAGCTTTGATAAGTTTTATCGATTGCCTCACATGTTCTGTATTAAATCTTGCCTTCTTAATTGATCATAGGTTGGAGAGAGTATGGGATCCAATTTTAGTTCCTGGAGCACCAAAGCGTATCAGTCAATTCTTCTTGAACGCTGTAAGATACCGACAAATATTTTATGGTCGTTAATATCTAGATATGGAATCGATAGCCTGAGATGTTTTATTGTTGCTGCAGTTTGAGAATTGGCATTCTTTTGATACAAACCCACTCTATGCTCTTCTCCACGAGTCGATATACTGTGAGGTATAGTCTCCTCAATACCTCATCATCTTCTTTCCCATTTCATTCAATTGCTTCTACTTGTTATCCTTAATTGAAAACTTTTTCAGGGTGCTTCATCAAGATGGTCTGCTCATAGATTACGGGAAAAAGTTGAGTGCAAATTCGATGCTATGAAGGCAGCTAAAGAAGGTCAAAATGTACTCTTCACAGGAGAGGTACATTTTCGGAACATTTCTAATCGTACGGTTGGTTAATTGCTCGGCTCACATTGCTTAACTAAATTAGTATTTGGATTGATATCAGATGATATTTCCATGGATGTTTGATGAGATTCATGCCTTGAAGCCATTCAAAGATGCCGCGGATCTCTTGGCCAAGAAAGAAGATTGGCCACCATTATATAACGTTGCTACATTGAACACCAACAAGGTCTGTATAATCTTTTAATCTTTAAGTTCCTATAGATCGAAGCGCGGTTATTTTACTCTGTTTTCACATGATCTCCTTTTGGTAGGTGCCTGTTGCTGCAGCGGTATACTATGAAGATATGTATGTAAACTTCAAGCTAGTGATGGAAACAGCTCCTCAGATCTCTGGTATTAGACTTTGGGTGACAAATGAATATATGCATTCGGGCCTTCGCGATGCTGGAAGACAAGTTGTTGATCATTTGTTGGGAATGATCAATGGGAAAAGGCCTCTCTTTTGATTCTTTGTAATAGTCAATGCTTTTGTGACTTATGATTTTTCTTCTTTAAACTCTCTTTGAGAAGCGAGTGGAAAAGAAATGAATAAGAAAGTTTTTGAATTTTTTAGCTCACTTTCCCAGTTCATGTAGAGCCGTCCAGATAAAAGAGACCAAAAGCAAGAGCAGAGGATGTGTTCATTATATATATAAAATATATAATGATTGTATCACAAATCCGTTGTAGTCTAGCTGGTCAGGATACTCGGCTCTCACCCGAGAGACCCGGGTTCGAGTCCCGGCAACGGAGAATTTTTTGTGAAACAAATTTAACTTGGAACTATATTAGATAACCGGTTTTGGTTCTGTCTGGTCAAGGAAAACGATTTTTGATCCCTTTGGTTTAATAATTATTGACTTCTTGACTCTTCTTCGTAAAAAAATAATTTTAGTTTCCAGTTTCCCCAAGTTTCCCCAAGTTTCTGGTAATAACGAAAACGATTGACCTTCCTCAAAACGAAATAAAGATAAACGAAGAAAAATAATCAATCATGTCAATATCATACGGTACAAGAACTTAAATAAAATAAGAAGAAAAAATTGACATTTCCTTTGGGCCACTGAAGTGAAGTCACTATTCACTAAACCTATAAACAAGAACCCTAATAAATGCAAAGCTATCAATACATTTGCCAAACTTTTGTATTCAATGCACACTATCTACATTTTCCACCCACCTACCAAGACAAATAATAAAACAAAAAAACAATAATAATCTCCATCACTCTTATTTCTCTTCTTCATGGCTCCAACCTCTTTCTTCACCATCAAATGTCAACCGCCTCAACCGCCGTCTTTCCTCCTCCTCCTCCGGTACCTATCCCTACTTATATCACTAGCCTTGGTCTTGGTTACTCCATAGCAATAGCTTTAGGTTTCCTCGTTCTTATCTCAACAATTATCCTCTCTTCTTACATTTGTTGCCGCGCCTCTCGCCTCCGCTTCTCCTCCTCCGCAAACGCAAACGCAAACGCGAACGCTTCTTTTGGTAGCCGTAGCATAATCGTACCACGTATCATATTTGTAGCTGAAGACGACGATCTTGAATCAGCTGTTTCTGGAACCGTTGTTGTTGGTGGACTTGATCAACCAATCATTAACTCTTACCCTAAATTTCATTACACTAAAGATATTGCCGTAGCCGCCACCGCCGGAGATAATGGATTTCACGGCGAAGATACGACGTGTTCGATCTGTTTGTGTGAGTATGTGGAAGAAGAGATGTTAAGGATGATGCCGGAATGTAAACATTACTTCCATGTTTATTGTCTTGATGCTTGGCTTAAACTCAATGGTTCTTGTCCTGTTTGTCGGAATTCTCCACTTCCGACGCCGCAATCTACTCCGTCGTCGACTCCTTTGTCGGAAGTTGTGCCGTTGTCTCAATACGCCGCCGATCGGAGGAGAACAAGAAGATAAAGTTTTTTTATGAAATCATATTCACTTTTTATTTTGTTGTTGCTCCGTTTCATTTGTTCAAATATATTTTTTTATAAT